TATGAGGCGCGATTAAAATATTCCCAGACTGATTATCTAGCGTAAAAAGAAAGGGCAGCACGCTGATACGCTCGCAGACAACACCAAAGTGAGAAACCTTTGTTTCTCAATATGCCAAAGTGCGTCGTTCTGTAAACATTTCAAGTTGCGCTACACGAGTTTTTCTGACAACGTGTATGACTACAATGGTGGTTTTACGATTGACTCTAAACTAGAGCGTGAGCGAACATCAATTCTGCGTTAAATTCGAAAAATTAAAATCAGGGTACTTCATATAATTTAGCAGGATTTTGTAAAAATGCTGTGAGCTGTGAGTAGTGTTTGGTGTGGCGGAACTTGGCTGAAGACGAGGAGAGAAAGGGCCAACTTCTCCGACCTTCATCTTGCAGCGACGTTCTGTCATTCTTAAAGCGCGAGTGCCCCTCCAAACACTTAGCAGAAGTCACTTATTTTTTACCTAAGCCTGCTGAACATTTCAAAGGTCTCTGCTTTAGATTTGCCGAGTTCGAGCTTTCAGTCTTTGGTGACACTCCGAAGTTTTTGTGCACGTTGTCCCAAAACCTCGTCTGGAGAAGCCCCAAGTGTGCATAGAAAACCTTTTGAGAAAGTATTCCGAGAGGGAAGTCCCGGGAATCGAGCTCCGCTTACGTTTACGCTACGAAGTAAATTAAAGACCTTTTTGATAGCACCTTGTTTTTTTATCTAATTCGTTGCACTAAACATATAGGGATAGTCCTAACTATTGTCCCTTTTATTTAAAAGGCAATGCGTTTTCCGCTTTCCTACTCCTCTGACACCACTTATTAGTATTCATTGCATTAACGACAGTTTAATTGCCCCGAAAAGTTAGCTCCGTTTCACATTTACTGTACACCCTTGCCCAAGTTGCTGGCGCGAGCATTGGTTTTGATCCCACAGATCATTTGCACGCGTTCTTGCGCAAACGAAACCAGAGCCGTATATTGAAAGAGTTTGACCATACATTGGTTCGAATAGGCGACCATCTCGGGCCGAACTACAGGCCGCGAAACAGCCCCCAGTGATGATCATGAGCTTTCAAAATGCGACTCGACTAATTTAAGCTGTTTTAGCGTCTCCCGAGTAAGAAGTACTTTGTGACTGAAAGCTTCTTCTTCGTCGACGTCAATGGATGCACTTAGGAGGAAGCCTGTGAACCGTGATTGGTGTATGTTTACCAAATGCTGGTCGATTTGGTAACAATTGAAGTGGTTAGTCCACATAGACCTGAGGGTTCTATGTATTTATATAACAAGGTCGGTACCAGTGAAACAATTTGCACAGCTGGAACAAAAGCAAACAGACCGAATAGGAACAACCGAGTTCTTTGTCGGAAAAGATATCTTTCTAGGTACTCACAATGCCGCTGGGTAAATTCCTAGACGTACGGTAGTTCAACTAATAAAACCGCGCAGGTGCACCGCACGGACACACACGCGTATACTGTCAGGAGCACGTTTAGCGAAAACCACGACCGCGCGTAACGAACATCCGCCGCCGTTGAGAAATCCCGGACACACTCACGATGTCGTCCCTGATGCCGTCGCCGCGAGTGTACCAGGCGGACACATACACACTATCAGTAGCATCCTTAGCGAAAACCACGAACGCGCGGAACGAACATACGCCGCCATTGAGAAATCACGGGCACAGTCACGATGTCGTCCCTGATGTCGTCGCCGCGGGTACACCATGCGGGCACATACACACTGTCTGTGGCAAGCTTAGCGAAAATCGCGAACGCGCGAAGCGAACATCCGCCGACGTTGACAAATCTTGGGCGCACACTTTTTCGCTCGCTCGATGCTTCTGAAGTCGGACGGACAGAATCGTAAGAAACAGGTCACTGGAAAATATTTTCTTTTCATCTGCACACCCAGCTGCTTTGGAAGATACAGGTCCACAAATGGAAAGAGAAGCCGAGAATGAGCGTTCGTTCCTGGCCGGCCGTTGCTCGTTGACGGACAAAGAACCCGGTTTTCTTCCAAAATAAAAAAGTCAGCAAAACGACCCTCTCGCATTTTCCCCACGAACCCAATGCGAGGGAGAGAGGGTGCGTGGGGACTCGTCCTTGGTGCGAGGCACCATAATTACACACCCAGTTGTCGGCTCGTCTCGGCTTTCCCCTCTTCTCGCGTCGGTTTTGAGCGAAGTTCGGTAAACAGGGAACCGAGTCACCCGTTTAGGATAAGATTTCTAGCAAAACCGGGTCGTCTGGTAAACGAAAGTGGCTGCCGGTGACATTCCAGCGAAATCTGGATACCCGATGCCGGTGAAGTTCCAGCAAAATCTGCTGGCCGGCAAATAATCTAACAAAGATAGGTAAACTGGTTTCGGATGAAAACGGGTGAAAGTGACCACCTTTTTGGGATTGTCAAAACAGTTCGCTGCACGCACTTCTTGAGGATTGCAAATTGGTCCCGAACTAAAACTCGCACCCACGTGAATGCCGCTCGAGTGGTCTCGTACCTGCTCTGGCCCCGATTTTTGCCTGTCGCAAATAGCAAGTTGCTGGTGATCGATGCCCACCTTTGTTGATCGTCAAAACAGTTCGCTGCAAGCAATTCTTGCAGGATTGCAACGTCCTCTCGAGCTAAAACACGCACTCACGAAAATGCCACTGCACTGGCGGCCACCATTACAAACTCAGTCCTTCTGCTCGTCTTGGCTTCCTTGCCTTTAGCCATTCTTCTTGCGTCGGCTTCCAGTGAAGTTCGGTGTCCGTCAAACGAGAGTGACTTCCGGTAGGATTCCAGCGACGGGTAATCGAAAGTGGTTCTGGTAAAACTTCCAGCGAAAGTGGCTGCCGGTAATATTTCCACCAAAGACTGGTAAACTACGCTGGATTCTGGTGAAAATAAGTGGAAATTAACCCGTTTTCACCGAATGTCACTGGAAGCTTTTGCCGGATTTTAACCGAAAGTGACTCCTTAAAACGTCCACCGAAATCTGGTAACTGAAAGTGGCGGCTGGTAATATTTACACGAAAAAACTAGTAAACTACACTGATTTCTGGTGAAAATGAGTGGAAATAAACCCGTTTCCACCGAATGTCACTGGAAGTTTTTGCCGGATTTTTTAATAGGGATATAAGGTACCTTTTTTTTGTGTTTTCACATGTGAAAGTTGACGCCCATTAAAAAAAGAGGTCATGTTTGTTTCTGCGGTACAATTACTATTTTGAACGAAAACAGTTCACTAGATGCAATGCTATAATTCGGTACATGTTCTATTCCGCTCTTTCGCGTAGGTTGATGTTTTTAATAGTTGTGTATTATTTTATCATCGTGCAAATACCTTTGATCGAAGGTATTTGCTACTCTATTTTAATTACACCCACAAAATATTGTATTCATTTATCAAATTGCAATTTTCAACCTTCGAAAAAATGTTGAAATGTTTTGCTTGCATTTCTTACGGGAGCAGGAATCGGCACACCTTTGCCAACATGGAGCGGAAACAACCGATGGTAAAACGGAACAAAAAGCCTGCAACAATAATGAGCTCAAAATGCCAAAAAAAAAAACAACAACTGAAAGATGGGAAGAGCTTAAGAGGGAAAGTACCAAAGAAGACACACTATGTTTCATTATTTTCGTTTTTTTTTACCGGTTTACGGCATAAATGACCTTTTTTTTCATCAGTCTGGTACTCTCCGGAACACTCTGCGGGGGAACGGAGATAGCTCGAGGCTTTCATGTAGACAGACAAAATGCAGGACACGAAGTCTGGGCAGGATTGTCTCCCAAAGTTCAAAATAAAGGGTCATCCGAAAGGTCTACGCGTTCCTGAAAGCTCTTTTAAAGGTTAGTGCGGGAAAAAAATCAAGAATTTAGAAACGGACAGGAAGAAAGGAGCGCTTCTTTTCGAAGTCTTGTTTCCTTTTATATATATTTTTTGTAACATATTTGAAAAGGGCGCGGTCATTCTTCAACGTATCCCAAATGTTTTTTTTTTAACATGAATTTTAGTTTTAGAGTTACAGCGATCAATAAAAACATTAGTCCAAGGTACGCAATATTAAATTAACACAAATGTGATGTTCAGCGATGTGACTATATACATTTTTTCTATTTGTCTTAAAAATTGAATATATTAGATGCATCAGTGATGCTGCTCCTTGTGGTGGCGCTGCATACAATCCCTACGATTTCGTGTTGTTCCCTTATGTTGACTGTAAATAGAGCACTTTTTTTTGTTTCTGAGGATGGTACAAACTCATGAATGGGAAGATACCTTTGAAAATAATTTGAATTTATTTCGAAGTATTTGTACTTTACTCAAGATATTTTGTAGGCAGAGCAACTTGAGTAGTATACACTAAATACTTTATAAAGCAGGTATTTAGTAACTCATATTAAATATTATTGTCGAGTTTCTTGATCAACAGTGCTTGAAACGTATTGCCCTATGCTGCCATGCAAAGCCGCTACCATGCATTCCGGAATGTTTTGCTCCATTTTAGGGTATTTTTAGTGTTTAGAAGGTGGCAATAGTTTATGTCACTAATGTTGATTCCGGACACACTCCTTAGATGCATTTAACTCCATCGTGCCGAAGACAAAAATAGTGCAGATGCATTGTGAGCCATATGACGCGCCAGCATTTAACACAACCCTCTTTCTCATTACATCCTCATGCAAGTACCCATGTCAATGACAACAGTTAAACTTGTGATCTGTGGGCTGAAGCATGCAAATAACAGCTCCTTTGACTAAACGACGCTGTTCGTGTGAAATAACCCGCTGGAATGTAAGTTGCGACGTGCACTGTAGTCACACTCATCTTATAAATGCAATGTATGGCTTATGTCAGCAGCGCTTGCTTCGTCTTTTGTACTTTGGCGTTCGTATCGGCTAATGCCATTGTCACATAGCTAGCAGAGCGATAGCAAAGAGCTGAGAATTTCGCATACCCTAATGCTCGCAACCGCACAGAAACTATACTGTTTTGCTTTAGCACTGTGCGCTGGTTTGGTGCAGCGTCTCATCGTTCGAGCAGCCAACGAGGCTCGCTTTGTCGAAGGCGCGTCTTCGTCCCGAGTGCTCCAGCACGTCACGGAGACAGTGGACTCCCTCAGCACCATCCGGTCATATGGGATGGTGGAGCGCTTTTGCGGCTGCTTCTGTCGACTCGTGGACGCTAACATGGTGACCAGAAACGCGTTCGTCTGCTGCCAGAGGGTCGGCAGGGCCCTGGTCGGTGCAGTGGGCTTTGCTGTCGTGTTTTCCACGCTCCTATTGGCTCTCTTCACTGTCAACAGCAGCGCCAGCGGCGTCGGCTTGACTCTCAGCTCTTCACTGTCCGTGAGTAAACGAACACGCTTTCGCGGCATAAGGCTCAGATCATTTAGTGCCCATTTTATTGTTTGTAGCCTCAAATAACCTAAAGCATGCTGAATGGTCATTGGCCTGAGTAAGAATCGTGAGCTAGACGCCACTTGTGCATTTGTGGCTAGATTGTGAATCTTCGTTCACAAGTGTCTACTAACATTTTGTATACGTGCATGCGAGCAACAGTTAGTTCTTCAAACAGTGAGAATGCAATACTAACGATGCCCGATCAAGCTGGGTGGGCCTATTATATAAGTCACTATCGCGTTTGAGTCGAGTCCATAAAAGAAATCCGTAGAAATATGGTGAGAGAAATTTTATAAAGACGCGACGATATAAATTTTGTATAATTTCTTAAATCTGCACTCCACAGACTTCGGCTAAAAAAAGTCTATGGAAAATTTGTTTGAAATTGTCTATACGACATGACTGGAGGGGGTGTCAAAATACTCGTTAAAACGTGGGTAGGCTTTCCATAGACTACATAAAATATTTTAAGGGGTGATTGGTTTAGCCTGTAGTAACAAACAAAGACAAGTCGCCGACGATTCCCTTTTAACGCTGCTCCATTAACTCCACCGAACCGCGGTGTCGCCTCCTGGAGGACTTCATGTGAAACAGAGTACAAAAAAGCTCGGTGGACATCCGGTTTAGTAAACTTTTAATGAACAGATTGGAAAATATTTGTACCTAGTGCGTAATGGCACTCTTAAGCGTATTACTTTGATCTAAAAGTTCTTTCCGTTATACAGCATTTGCGACATTGAATGCAAGAAATAAGAGCACCTTAAAGGGGTACTCCACCGTTTTTTCATTGTCTCCGATTTGCTTGAAATTTCGCTAAACTAACCAACAAACATTGCTAAAATAGTATCCCAAATAGTAGGCCAAAATATTGTTTTTTCGCGAAGTTATTGAATTTACAGTTTTGGTCTTCACCATGTTTTTCAAACTGAAAGTCTGTACTGGCAACAACAGCAAACTGACGTCAGTGGAAGGCAGGGGTTACTTTTTGGACTACAGAAGTTGTTCCCAACGGTTTGAAGCAGTTTCTTGGTGTCAAATGAGTGCTTTGGAAGCTAGCTCCCGTATCCGCGCTCCAGCACGGAATAAATGATTGGCATATTCTATTTTTAGACTATTTGCTCGACTGGCAAGCCTGCCTGCCACTGACGTCACGGCACTGAAAAGTGCGCGAATATTTGAATATTGGTTTTTGCACCATTTTCATTTGCCAATTTCACAATACCTATTATGAATTTCGCGATGCTAAATAGCATACCGGAAAGGCTGAAGGCAGGGGAGTCAGAAAATATAGTTAGTTGAGGTAGCTCAAAAAATCGGTGGAGTACCCCTTTAAAGGCCGACGTACCAGCCTCGGTTTTCTGCAGGGAAGATAATCCTCTTAGCGCTCCCCTCTCCTAAGCTGCGAGGGGAGCCAAGTTGGGCCAAGGTAAAATGTGGAGAGGATATAGGAGAGAAGGAGGCTGGCAAAAGTGGAGAGCGCGAAGTGTACGTCGGCCTTTAATGAAGCGAAATTCATAGAAAATATCTTCGCCCAAAACATAAGGGCCGTGTTCCAAAATTTACTCGATCTTACTCCAGGGTAAGGGTTTTGTACCTTGGCGTTCCAAAACCTACCCGCGCTCAGCGCTTTTCAACCTTTGTTGTCACGTGACACGACCCGCCGGAGTAATTCGGACCCATTTGGGTTAGGTTTGGAACAGAGCCAAGGTCATCGCTCAAATTCCCGCATTCGCAAACATATTTGAGCAAAGTGCAGCTAATAGTAAGACGTGGTTATTCGAACTTTTTATATATTTTCGACGCAGATTCCTCTGATCCTGACGTCCCTGTTTTTGGTTCTGTTCTGCTGCTTGCAACAAATGGTAGCTTTCGAGCGTGCTCTGGAGTACGCGGAACTGCCACGAGAGGTACGAAGTGCGGAAGAGAGAGGTTCCATAATCGTATCGTTATCGCTTTTTATACTATCTTAAGCTTCTGGTTAAACACAAATTTAAATTTTTGTTCGATGGTAGCTAGAGTAAATATTGTTAGCATGTATCCAGAAACAGGTGTATTTTTTCTGCTTAAAGCCCTTAAATTATTTTAATCTTCGCGCTGACTTTGTTCATACGGTTTCATACTCAATCTAGGTGGGCATATTTAAGGCGTTTGAATATCTATCTAGACGTACTAGCCATCGGCCATTCCACTCGCGCAACCAGTGACCTCCCCTCATGGTTCATGGGCGAAAACTATTCTTTTGGTTTGCCGAGTAAACCTCGCGACTTTGTAGTTGTATGTGTCAGAATTAGTTGCGGCTCCTTGTCCTGCCTGCGACGAGAGGACACACCACAACTCTGGCGCGATATACCGGATAACTCTGGAAAACTGGTTAAATGTGTACAAATAGAATGAAGGTTTATGCAGTTTTGGCGAGATGCAATGTTGGCTCATCTTTGAGAAGTAGTCGCGCATGACATTGTCTGAAATGTTTGAAGACCATGATGTAAGAATGATATCTAAAAAAATCATAAAAATATATGTGCGGGTCAGAAGCGACCCATGGACTAAGTAATAAATGGCGCAGTGTGCCTGTGTGTTCTCTCGTGGAAACCAGTTACAAGGGAAAGCAATGCATCCCTGCGTACTCGAGCGCAAATGTATGAACTAGAGTTTAGGCAACTCGTGCGAAGCGAGTCCACGTGGCTAGGCTCTTAGGACCGTTTCAAATGATAGGTTCAGGTGTCCTAAAACGTAAATGAAGCTCGGTCAATGACAAAATTAATATTTGTTCTTCTCATGCGTATCAGCCTGATGTGGAGATCCAAGAAGAGGACCAGCAGAGCAAGAATAGATCGGAGGTCCTTTCGATTCTGCCCTTGGATCACGAATGGCCAACGGAAGGCAGGCTGGAGTTCCAGGACTGCGCAGCGTCTTACCGTCCAGGCATCTTGCCCGATGTCCTAAAGGGTGTCACGTTCGTTGTTCAGCCACATGAGAAGGTGTGTTGTTCTCGTGCATGTTCATTTTGTTTACCAGACTCTGGCATCAACACACCACTATCATAATGTTGCATACGAATGGTCTTATTTTCCCCCTGAGGCGGGTGACCAAATACTTCGTGATCCAACATGATGATAGACCTCGTACAAACAGGCAGGACTGACGAGGAAAATTAGAACGGAAGAGAAGCGCGTACACAGAACTAAAATGTATCGCGTGAAGAAAAGGAAGATGAAGCAAGATGACGGAGGCACCGGTATGTGGGCATACTACTCGGTGACGCCCAAAATACAGCAAAAAGGCTACTCATTTTTCGCTAAGGGCCTCCGACAGCTGGCTAACGCAGTTATCGGCTAAACTCATAATGCAATACGCCTCGCCCACCTCGCGTGTTTTTTTTTTTTTTCTTTGCACCATCCAATAATTGATGTTTTGTTAAACGATGGAGCACACGTACACCTCTTCCGATGCACAGAAAGGTGGCCTCCTGAAGTTAAGGACAAATTGTGCTCACGTAGCCTCTCATTGAGACACCGGCCAGGTTGTCCCAAATAGCACCGTTCACAGGATAGGGGGATATTATACACAACAACGTTACTGGATCGGAGAAGTTTACAAGCTCCAAGAAAAAAAGACGGCGCGCTGCCATTCACAGCCGCGTAGCGGCGCTCGTGTCGAAGCCCGCCCGACCCGTTCGGTCTAACTGACCTCAGTACCCGTGGATCAGACATGGCAGTAAGGACATTACTGTACTGAAATTTGGAAAAGGAATATGCGTTTTTTTTTCCTGTTTTTCTTTCGCTTTTTTTATATTCGTTCTCTTAAAAGGACGCCAGCCCGCTCGTATCATGTAACAGAGCGCACTGGTTCTCTGAACACGTGATATTTTACCCCAGCAGGAAAAAACACGGAAGGGACTAGAGGGAGTGTTTTGCTGGCACTGGTGTCCAACCAGCGAAGAGACGAGCGTTGCGTCGGCGTTCCGACTCCAATCGGCCGGTCGACTACTGTTGCTTGCCCTTAACCTGATTCTATGGTTAGATGCCAGCCATATAACACATTCAGTGTTAAAAGTTTTATCTCTCCACAAACTATCACTAAATTTCTACAGTTCCCAATGGAAGCTTTCCTCTGTTCTTCCTTACTTGCCTTCGCGCGACCGCAACAACTGACACGGACAGCATTAGAAAAGCATGGCGTGGCAACTCCCAAACAACTGATTATCCATTTGCAGCCAATAGAGAGTTTTAACTTTCAGGGAACCGTCTTTGGACATCCGATAGGGTACGATGGGCCCTCCTGTAAGAACTGTGCATACGCTACCACAGAAGACTCGCCTATGTGCACTTGGTACCGGAGGTCCCATTGCATTGTATCGGATGTGCAAAGACGGTTCCCTAAAACACACTAATAAGAATGCGACATCAGCCGATGATTATTCAGAAGAACGAATCCCAAAGTGAGAAACGTGAACGTCACATAAAACGTTTCGGTTTCACTTGGTTTGCGTGTCTCTGCCTAGATTTACAGGGTCCTCCTTTCTATAGCTTAACAAATTTGTTGGGAAAAGTCGGTGAAATCTCCATTTATGCGGTGTGTGCAGGTGAGTCATTCAGCCAGGGAAACATAGTATAGGCGTCTTATTGTAGTGGTCAGTCGGCTAACTAAGTATAATTCGTTAATTAACTTTCTGATGGGCAAATGGCTTCAATTAGAAGCCTGCTGAACGTGATCGGAAACCACTAGATGAGTAAGTATTAGAGAGTCGTTTAGCGCGTGATAAGTGTAGTAGTGTGTTAAAGTTACTTGTGCAGCGGCAGCAAGGCTATCGCTGCAATAACGCGCCCGCGAGATTTTTTTTTTTGTCTCTTATTATAGTTTCATTCTTGTGCCTGTTCCACCAGTTGTATGTTTAATGCACTACTACACTTCCAACACGCTAAAAGTATTTCTAAAAATAATAGATTTTCTCGTATTCGATGACGCTCAGCATGTTTCTAATTGAAAGCCATGACTAGTTTTACTAATTAAAAAGTTAATTAACATACTTCACTTAATTATCTAAATGATTGTTACGATTAGCCCTTTGTACTATGTCCCCCTGGTCGCGTAACTCACCTTCACAAAACGCATGAATGTAACTATAAAAAAACACCCTGTAGATTCTAGCTAAAGGCGCGTAAGACTAGGGCTTAAAGTAAATAAAACTGCATTTTGGCACCCGTGTTGTTCTGGGGCGCCACATTTTCGGAATGATGATCATTCATTCATACCTGGGTCAGGCGCACACATAAAAGACCTTCAGAAAAACCTTCTCTAAAAAGTGGGCAAGCCAGCGCACGTCGATAAGCGCAAAATCGTGACCTAAGTAGCCGATTCCTTAAAAGAGTTCGTTCTGAAGACCTTTAGTGTGCTTTTGTGACTGCGGTATACGTTATTAAGCACTCCGGGACTCCGATTAAAGGGTGTCTTAGTTGGCACTTTACCCACTGCATATTGCATACAAATAAGATACTCCCAAATGATCATAATGTTGTCCCACTAAACATACTGTTGTAGCAATCAAAAAGAAAACACATGACTTTCTCATTTTTGTTTCGAATGTGGACCAATACCACATATACTTTACGGGTCGACTCAAAAAATGATTCAAATTATGAGGTGACCATGGTCCTCCTAATAACGTTCGAAACACTGTGATGCCCAGCTGTTTAAAAATAGACATACCAGTAGACTCTTTACTGGGAAGACTCGTGGAAAACTTTTTTTAAGAATGAAGGAAGGGTTTCAGTTCAGTTTTAATCTTTTAGCTATTTTTTTGTGAGTTTCTGAAAGTTTACTATGACAATTTTGTGCACCTGTACGTGTCGCTGAATTTGGAGCTGCATTTTATATTTTTCTGTAGTTTAACACGCGCTTATTTAATGTCACGAAACAGACGAGTTTTATTTGTTCTGACATACTTTTCTAGGATCATTTAATATGCACCGAGACAGGCACTTGCCTTTACTGAAGGCAAGTACACTCTTTACTTTCTCATTAACATTTTCCGTCTCACTGCGAGTGTTTCCTCTTGCAATTTTCTGTTGCAACTGAGGCCTTGACACCAGTGTTACGGAGTTCACAGTCCTGACTTAAAATAATTAGCAAACCATTCCTGGCTCCGCGACCCTTTAGTGGTAGGGAAACGAAATGTCTGTAGTGCTGGTAAAAATGGAAAGGGGAATAAACTCGGACACCTTTCGCCCGGAATAAATTGCGCTGGCGACGCGTCCCTATAATTTTGCAGTTGTTTATCCGTTTGATAATGTCAGTTTCATGCTGCTTTTGCCGGCCGCACGGCGTAGCCGCCAAAAGCAATATCACACGCTTAGGAACTAGAGAAAACAAAAATGGCAAGGTTCAGACATCCCAGTAGTGAAGATGGCGTCTTTATCCTTACGAGCTTGAAGCACTTGAATTATTGGAAGCTCCACTTCCCCAAAATGGTGTTGGAATAAAAAAGGGGTGTTAACTCACCAATTATGTTAGGAAACACGCGAGATTTGTATGGCCCTATTATTTGATCCGCGTAGCAATTTTTCTAGAGCACTAAGCGCGTGAAATACTGATCATACGAAAGAAAATAGTGAACTAGAAAAAACCGAAGTGGTGTTTTATCTCCCAGTTCTACGGGGCTGTTGCATTTGGTTCTAAAATTATATTTTGGTTTTGGTGGATGTGGCATGTCTTCGCTTTCCCCATGTTGCGAAAACCGTTTCGTCCTAAAGATCAAAACGAAGTCGTACAAATTCTGGGAAATATTTTGTTGTCCAGCTAAATTTACGGAAATTTCTGCTGGCCACTCCGCAGCAATACAAACATGCAGGGTCATTATTTGCGTTGCGAGTTCTTCATTCTAGTGAGAGCGAACTGTAAGCGACCTCAAACAACTCAAGCAAGCTGAGCTAACATGGATGTCGGGGCAGCTTCCCAGGAACGGAGTGACTCTGCGGATTTTTTTTTTTATATTTCTCTTTAAAGGTGGGCGTTGTAGGAAGAACCGGAGCTGGCAAGTCTTCCCTGGTGCTCGCGCTCCTTCGGGTCCTGAAGAGCTCCCAGGGCAGCATCCGGATCGACGGCGTCGACATCAAGGCGGTGCCGCTGAGGAGGCTCAGAAACGCGGTCACCGTGATACCTCAGGTGGAGTGTCCAGATGTCCTCTAGCCGCGCGAGCGGTTTCAGATGGCTTACTTCAGGTTGGATATTTTACCGGACATCATATTGGTCAACTGTTACCACATGTCTTTCTATTCGCAGAGACAGTATTTTCCAGCTTTGTTGTGTTCTGTCGCGTCGTGATCGATTGCGCCAGTCAGATGAGTAGCGATGCAAAAGAGCATTAATTGGTATTACGCATGCCAATTTTTATACGGACTTAAGACGAGCCGGAGATCGGAAATCCGACTGGTTGGGGAAATTAATGCCCCACTAGATTCTCTCTGTGTGACTCTGAAAAAAAAATCAGACCGTACTTACTGAGTTATGTGGCCGACGGAGTTACTGGTCATGCGTCAGCGTACCACCAACACCAAACAGGACGCCAACAAAATCTGCGCTCACACTGCTGGCCCATCAAAGAAAAGACAGTATACGGACCTGTCTGAGTCGTGTGTCTTTTCATGTATGTCGATCCTGTCACATTAGTCATAAAAAACACCTTATGCGGACGTGTTTCAAGAGAACAAATCCATGAACTGCACCTCAAGGAAGGGTGTCGTTTTACACCCTTTTGTCCCATATAATGCACCTCAGAGCTTCAGGTCGACGTCCAGCGCACTATAGTCGAACCGACTATAGTGCACACAAATTTTCCGAGGAACTTGATAACGGTGCGGTATAACTTAGTAAGCAGCTAAAGTACGCATTAAAGACCACTGGAAGAAAACTCCAAGATTTTGCGTTAAGGCAAAAAAACCCCGATTATTTTTTTTAATCAGTAACACGCGCATCAGTTATTTCAATAAGTTGTACCACACGGTCATCAATCAAGTCTCTCGTGAAAGTTGGTACCGTCGGTTGGACGTCAGTGCGCTGTACGTCGAGCTGAAAGTTTGGGGTGTCTTATATGGGACAAAAGGTGTAATAATACACCCTTTTTTCTGAGAGTGAAAATTGATTCAAGCACTCTCCCGCCTGTCCGCAGATAGTCTTCTCATTATGTCTGCAGTCAAAACAGTGTATTTTTTATGACGTGTGAGCATGGCGACTGCGGCTTAGCCAAGCGTCAGGGTGCAAACAAAGTAGAACATGTGGCGGACAATGTTCAGAACATGGCAGAACGCGGCTTACCGGAAGGCAAAAACAAAGAAGTTTTCTAAAACTTCCCTACTGACAGCGTGCCTATAGAAATAATCCGATGATTTTAACGCGTCAGTACGCAAGGGTTGGTAATCGCTGGTGTCGTTCAGTCGCCGGCTCCCATAGTGCTAACCGAGCATGCACCGATGAAGCTCGCTACAACTTTCTGTTGGGCGAATAAGGTTTGAACTTCAGCAATGAGAGAGTTCGGGAGATTGACATCACGTCAGGCGTTAGCTCATAGTCGCTGGAGTCCAATCGGCACGCTCCGCGAAATTCCCATACAAAGCTGTGTTCGACGAGCCTGGCGACCCAGCTAAGTCTGGACGCTGCACGTGGTCAAAGACCAAATTCACATGAGGCGAGCCGTCTGCTTTGCGTCATGGTGCCATCACTACCACTGCAGCGGCGTAGTGTGCGAGGCAAGCATTAGTCTTATTTAGACATTTCGCAAACCTGCACAGGGCCCAATAAAATCAGGCTCAACCTTTTGACCAGGTTCGTGAAGTTCAACTGAAGTTCGACTACCAAGCGCGCACACGGCAAATGAACACGAGCTGAAGTTAAAGCGAGGGCAATATTTGCAGGGTATACTGTTCTACACTAACAAACTAACACCGCCATTAAGGATTATGCATTTGCTTATCTGATGTGTAATGCATGTAGCAAATTTTACTACCAATATATTTGAGGGGTGCTTTAACTGCTTACCCAGAAGTCTTTAAACAGAGTTCAGTAGTTGAACTTTGCCGAACGTTTTGCATGTTCAAAGGTTTGCCATACCACTAGATCCTGGAGGCTCAAAATCAAACCTCAGTTTCTATAAACATTTGGGTCATTCCAAGTCTTAAGTGAACCTCGAAATCTTGCCAGTTTATGGAAACGCTGATTCCCAGGAAGCGAACTAGTCCTGGTATGCGACCCAAATTTTAGCCGATTCGATAATAAGCAATACAAAGGAAGTAATCGTGCCTCTGTATTATACATAGACGCAAGAATGTGCCAAAAAATTCAATTTGAACACTACAGCCTTTAAAAAACACATGCAAAGGAAAAAAAATTTTTTTTTAAACGGCTTAGATGGAAAAAGGACGCCATAAAACGATTTTACAACGAAGAAAAAAAATTTTAGAGCTATATTTACGGCGCAAAACGAATTTGTAGTTGGCGCCCGCGGGCACCGCGGAAAAGTGGTCTGTATTTATCACGTGACCGGTCTTTATTTATCACGTGGTGCTTGCGCTCTTTCGGAAGCTTCCTATGGCCTCTAAAAGTAACTTATTCATCTTTGTTTGAAGTATAACAAAAAACCAAGACGAATAAGTAACTTTTAGAGCCCAAAGGAAACTCCTGAAAAAGCGCAAGCAGACGTGATAGACCTGTGCGCCGGTCAGACGACGGCGGCGGCGCCCCGAAGCAGACGAACTTGTGCGGCGGCGGCGACGGCGGCGTGGAGAAACGCGTTGAAGCGGCGTTCGCACAACGTTCAGCGCGCGGCGGCGACGCAGCGCGGCGGCGCGCGGGCCTACCACGTGACCAGCGGCGGCTCCCGCGAGCGCCAACTACAAATTCGTATAGGTGTGATTCGAGCGAGTGGCATGCCCCGTTTTGGAGTACGAGGGGACACCAAGATCATCGTTAGGCCCCGCGGGGGCTTGGATTTAAGAAGGGTCTCAGACGTAGCTCTGGCAGCGGCTGTCAAGAACGCGGCCGGTGTAGAGCTCCCAGCGGCAAGTGAAGACCTGGTGTGTATCAACGGCACCCAGAACGTGATTGTAATAAGCTGCTCGTGTAAGGAGCGCGCAAGGAAGTACGTCGGAATCACGGCCCTGAAGATGGGTGATACCCTGTACGAGGCACGGGCTTACGCGACAGTCCCCGAAGGATGTGCAAAGGGGGTAATCCGCGGGATACCCTTGACGCACACGAGGAAGCAGATCGAAGAGGCGCTGCTTGGTCCCAGGAATCCGTCCCTTATCGCGGCGGAGCGCATCGGTTCATCTGGTGCTGTGATTGTGGTGTTCGAGGGGGAGGTGGTCCCATCTCGCGTGGTCTACGATAGCGTTGTGCTGCGGTGCACCTTATACCGAAAGCACTACGAGGTATGCCGAATCTGCGGGAAAGTCGGGCACCGGGCGGACGTCTGCCCGACCCCAAGCGCTCGTCGATGCCTGGGATGCGGCAAAGACCCAACGCCCGGACATGAGTGTATGGCCAAGTGTAAGCTGTGTGGTGGTCCGCACGAGACTGGGGACAGAAGGTGTAAGAACAAATTTCGTGAACCTTACATTGTTCGTAGTAGGAAATGGGAAAGGAGCCAGATCGGGGCACGTGCGCGTAGCCCCTCGATCCCTCGGTTTACTGGTGGCGATTTCCCCGCCGTAGATAGGGGGCGCTCAAGCTCCGTGGAGTCGCGTACCTCGCGGAGCCGCAGCCGTAGCACAGGCCGCCAGGTGTCGTGGGCTCAGGTTGCTGCAAAAAAGCCCTCTACTGGGAAGGGTAGTAAGGATAATGAACTAATGGAGAAGATGAAAGTCATGGAAAGGGAACGGCAAGAGCTGATTCAGACAAACAAAGAGTTAAAAGCAATGGTCGAGGCGCTAACGCGTAAGGTAGACCAGATGGAAATATCGTCTGACGCGAGCGGTAATAGCCCGCCTATGAAGCGTAAGGTCGTGGGGGATAAGGCCAAAGCCGTCGGAATCGCGGCAGGAAAAGAGCAGGTGCAAGGCCAGGTAGACTGGGAAAGAAGGTTCGGGGTTTTGGAGCAGAGTATGGCCCAGATAATGTCTAAATTGGAACACGTCTGCAGGTGTGTGGACGGTATCAGAAGCAGGGTCGAAAAGCTTGAAAACAGGAATGGATAGTTTGCTCATATGGATTTGGAATTGTAATGGATATGGAAACAAGAGGGCCAGGTTGCAACAATTTCTCAGGAGTAGGCATCGCAAACCAGACGTTATCTTGATGCAGGAAACTGTGATTGAATGTGTAACCCTACCGGGATATGTGGCATACAGGGCGCAGGGGGGGCCCCCTGGTAGAGTCAGGGGAGTTTGTACGTTTGTAAGAAGAAAGTGGCCGGTGTTAGTACACTGTATGGATGGGGATGAAAATGTAGAAAGAATCGCAGTAGAGGTCCTCGTGGGCAGGGTGGGAGTATGCGTATGCAACATTTATAGTAACCCCCACTTTAGACGGCAAAGGTTCAGTAACATTCTGCACGGTGCGGTCCGCTGGGCAGACGGAAGAAGCTTAGTGGTGGCCGGGGACTTTAACGCTAGCCATGAAACTCTAGGACATGGCCACAACACTAGAAAAGCTTTGAACCTTTTCTCAGACGCGGAGGAAGTGGGGTTAATGCTGGTTACGGATCCTGGCCTGCCCACACGGGCTGCGCGGCATTTTGCTGATAGGGATACAACTCCTGACCTGGTCTACGTCAATGACGCTAGGATCTCATGGGAAAACCTAATGGAAGATCTCGGCAGCGATCACCGGGTAGTGGAGATTGAGGTACCATTGAGGGAGAAACCGCGGCAGTGGAGAGTAAAGGGCCTGGTCAATTGGGACCTTTTCAGGGCTTTATGCCCAAGCGGCCCCATTGAGAACGTTGAAGCGTGGTCGAGGGAACTGACGAATACGGTTGAAAGCGCGAGAAGGGAAGTGAACCTTGATGAGGCAATAAATAATGCAGTAGGGGGCATAGTAGATAGCCGGCTGATATCTTTATTAGAGGCACAGGATTCTATCAGGATGAGGTGGAGGGCAACTGGTAGGCGCAACAGAGCCCTGCGCAAAAGATTGGCTCAGCTTAATGGGGAAATCAGGAGGCATTGCGAAGCCCTGTCCCGTCAGCAGTGGGACGACGTGTGCGCGCGAGCGGAGGGCAGCCTACATTGTGGAGACACATGGCAACTACTTAGACACTTATTGAACGAGGACTCGACCAAGGCGGCAAAAGGCCGCAAGCTTAAGGAAGTGGTCGGCAGATCTGTAAGGGATCTGGGGGTACAAAAGGTCAAAGATTGGCTTAAGAACAAATTCCTGGGCAAAGGTGAGAAAACTTGTGGAGTACGGTACGAAGGGCCAGAGAATCCAGAGTTGGACAAACCATTCGAGATGTGGGAGCTTAGGGCGGCACTAACTAAAGCTAACCGTCGCTCAGCTCCGGGATTGGACGGGATCAGTAATTCGGTCTTGTCAAATCTATCAGATGAGGGACTAGAGAAACTATTAGACCTGTACAACAAGGTGTGGGAAGAGGGAGCCCTCCCTGAGCCCTGGAAAGTAGCAAAGCTGGTGCTAATACCCAAGCACAACAAGACGCCGGACCTGGAACACCTCAGGCCAATTTCCATCACCTCGTGTGTATGTAAACTCCTTGAACATATGATCCTAAGGAGATGGCAAGCGTTCTTGGAAAGCAAAGGGTACTTTCCGAGCTCAATGATCGGCTTCCGCGAGGGTCTGGGTGCACAAGATGCCATGCTCATCATAAAACACGAGGTGGTGGAAAGCAAGAAGCCCGGGGTGATTCTAGGTCTGGATCTAAAAAGTGCGTTCGATCGAGTAACCCATGAAGCCATCCTAACCGGAGTTAGCAAGGCGGGGCTAGGGAATAGAAGTTTTGCCTTCGTAAAGGATTTCCTGTCTAACAGGAGAGCTAAATTGGTGGCCGGGGATCTGGAGGTAGGCGAAGGGAACCTAGGTAATGCTGGCACACCACAGGGTTCAGTGATATCTCCTGTGTTGTTCAACATAGTGATGGTGGATGCAGTACGTGCTCTACGTCGGGAAGGAATACCACATGTAGTATACGCCGATGACATTACTATGTGGTGTCTAGACAAACGACGCGAGGTTGTGAGAGGGACCCTGCAAAGAGGTATCGAACTGGTGGAAGAAAACTTAGAGGGAACGGGACTGGTGTGTGCACCAGAAAAATCTGAGTACTTAATGTGTCAACAACATCGAAGCTCGTGGAAAGAAGTATTACTGTACGCGGACGGAGGGTTGATACCGAAAGTGCCTACGCTTCGGGTGCTGGGTTTGGTGTTACAAGAAAAGGCGGGCAACTCCGCCATGCTAGACAGGCTGAGGGCAAAGATCCTGGCAGCCATGCGATTAATACAGAGGGTCTCCAGTAGGAGACGAGGCATCAGAGAAGAGGGAGTGTTGAGGCTAGTCCAGGCTTTTGCCCTCAGCCATATCATGTATGTAGGGCCATATCTCAAATGGTGGAAGGCCGAGCTAAACAAGCTGGATGCGATGGTGCGGAAAGCTTGCAGAGCCGGTTTGGGGGTGCTCTCTTTCACGCATAACGCCGACCTGGACGCCCTTGGGGTGCATAACTCGGTGACCGAGATGATTGAGGCACACCGAGAAGCTCAGGAGTTAAGGCTTGCCGGTACTGCGGCTGGACGAGAAATTCTCGCCCGAGTCGGCGTAAGTCGTGGAAACACCGGACTAGCTGAGTTACCCAATGAGACCATGAGATGTGTGAAAGTGCGCCCGATCCCGAGACACATGCACCCCACGAGGGACGCTGGGCGTCGTGCGGCCAGAGCGCAAGCTCTGGAGCGACTGTTCTTGAAATCTGGAGGAGCGGTCTGTGTTGATGCAGCTGTACGTGATGGAGTTGGGGTGGCGGTTGTCACGGATCTGGCCACCGGGGAAATCAAGACGGCCCTGAGTGTTAGGGGCGGAGATGTTTGTGTAACAGAAGGAATTGCCATAAGCCTAGCGGTTTCCCTGCCAGGAGTTAAAGCAGTGCTAAGCGATTCGATGACTGCGGTGAGGGGGTACGCGCGCGGTCGTGTTCCGCCTCTAGTCGCCAAGCTGTGCAAACCTCGTAACGAGGTGGAAGTGGTGTGGACCCCTGCGCACATGGGCGGCAATGTCGCTCCTGACCGAATGGCCCGAGAGTTATTAGGCCGGGCTTTCGGTGGGGCGGCGGTGTTCGCTCCGGTGGGCTACGGGGAAGTATTACGAGCGAAACGAGAAGCGCGGCGGGTGTATCCCCCTCCGCACGAGAACCTAAGCAGAGAGGAAGCCGTCCTTCTAAGGCAGCTTCAAGTGAAATGCATCTTCACGCCGGTGTTGGGCCGGTATGTGGCTCCGGACGTGTACAGAACGGATGCGTGTGTTATATGTGGGGAAAAGGCTACGGTCATGCACGTGTTGTGGGACTGCAGTCCGGTAGGCGCGCCTGGAACGTTGCCTGAGATGTTGGACGCCGGAGTCAAGGATACGACACTGGAAGGACAGCGAAGGGCCGTTCAGAAGGCTCGGGAACTGAGGGACAGGCAGGTCCGCAACCGGGCCCCCTGCACCCTTACCCCGGGTGGGGCTTTCGGCCTCCCCTAGCCAGATGGGCTAGCTTTTGAAGACAAATAAAGATGTTTATTCCTCCTCCTCCTAGCTCTAAAAATTTTGTTTCTTCGTTGTAAAATCGTTTTATGACATCCTTTTTCCATCTAAGCTGTCTAAAAAAAATGTTTTTTTCCTTTGCATGTGTCCTTTAAGGTAACCTCTTCTCACTTAACTCGACACATAAAAGTGAGGTGAGCATTCCTAAAATAGCAAAACAAATGCATTAACAGGGAGTTTCATCAACGGCAAATTGTAATTAAACTTGCGGGCACTTAAAATAAAAAAGTTGATTTCTTCTGAACAACTTGACCGTCAGGGGAGCGTCCGATAGAAAGTGTAAACCATAAATACAAAAAATTACCTAAATATACTATTTAACTTTAAGAATAATGTTTCACCTTAGCTGGCACATTCTAATGACAGATGCGTTGTTTATCTTGAAAATGTGCATTTGCGGTTGTTGGAATTATCAAAACTAAATTCGGTTCACGCTATTCTCTGGTAAATGTAAGCCGTAATAAAACTGAGACACAAACAATATAGGCCAAAAACGGGCGGAAGTACCACACGGAAGTGACAAAGAAGCATCAATATCCAGTCATCCCAAGTCGATATGACAGCATTTCCTTTTCTTAAAATCACGTGGTCGCAGAGAGACCGTGCTGCTGTAGTAGCACGGTCTCTTATAATAGTTTTACTGTGGCGGGTTCTAGGCTGATAAAATTTACCATCGAATAGTGGAGAGTGAATTCAGTTGTCTGAATTCTAAAAATATGCCTGGCTTATTATGACGGCGAGAAAAAAAAATTCGTAGAAAATGTGCAGCTCAGCCTATCATTTCCAGCGTGATTCCGCAAATACTGTAGACGACCTAATTTTCGCAAAGGCCTCATTTTCGCTAATTTTGCGAATCGTCTATAGCGTGGGCCGAATTTCGTTGTGGTAATTCTAATAACCGCAAATATATATCATCAAGATAAGCAATGTATCTGTCGTGGGAATGTGCCAGCTAATGTGAAATATTATTCGCTAAAAATAGGTGCGGCGCACAATTTCGGTAAAATGGAGACACATTGGAATCTATAACGAGATCCCAACATGTCGCGAAAATTGGAACCCGCGAATTATTCCCGAACTTCAGCTTTGACCTGAATCTCAAAAGATTGAGCCCGCTAAAATTAAGTCGTTTACAGTATTAGGTGATTGGGTAAATCACGATTTTACACTTTGCACTTGGCGTAACCTGTGGTGATAATTTTATCTAAAATAAATCCTTTATTTTGCACTGCTTTAAAAACGTCATTGGTGACATACGTTGCTTGTATGTCTGCGTGAGTGTTTGTTTTCTTTTTAGCCTTTTCTGATTTCGCTTTTAAACCGTATAGCCACCTGCCTAGTTACTGCCTCCTGAATGATGTTTTTTCTGTCTTACAACAGGATCCAAGCCTAGTGCGAGGCAGCCTTCGAGAAAACCTGGATCGTACTGGGAGCCGCAGTGACGAAGAACTGTGGCGAGTTCTACGAGAAGCTCACCTGGCGGACTTCGTCACCTCGCAGGCCAAGGGTCTTTCCCTGGAAGTAGGCGACGGAGGTTCAAATCTCAGGTCATTCTGTCATGTTTGGATTATAGATGACATATTCCACACTTTCCCGTTGTTCTCTGATCATGCGAATGCGCTAACTGATCATGCGAATGCGGTAACTAGCCACGGTAACTTGCGATTCAAGTTACCGTGGCTAGCCATCCAAGTTCCAACGTTGAGTGCCGGGATCGCGAGAAGGAGAGTTTCCAGATTTGTGCTTCTAAGGTGTTAGCCTTTTGCAATCCGTTGGAAACTTATATTCACAACCCTGAGCTGGTTGTGAAGACAATGCCAGGCGCTACGATATTTTATTGTAGGCATCCCTTCCTCGGGCTAGGAACAATGTCACAACATTGATGACTGCAAGCACCACATCAAGTATTACAAACCCCCAAAGTTAATGCTTAGGTTGAGTTGACCTTCTAATATGTCTGACCTCAATTACCTCTCCACGAACGTTGGTCCAGTATGCTGGTCACAAGACGATGCAATAAACGTCAACTACTTTGCGGTGGCGGACAGGAAGTCGTTATTTTTGCGTGATAATGAGCGGAAGAGATATTGTGATTTGGAGGCACCTATTTTACCCTTTCCTATGCATGACGAACGTCTTGCCCAATATTCTGCAGTGCTGGACAGAGGCAACTAGTGTGCCTGGCCAGGGCGCTAATCCGCAAGCCGAAGGTGCTCCTCTTGGACGAAGCCACGTCCCAGATGGACGGGGACACAGATCGCTTGATCCAGGCGACGCTGAGGGAGAGCTTCGCCGGTTGCACTCTCCTGGCCATAGCACACCGCATCAACACCGTTCTGGACTACGACAAGTGCGTGCTTTTTACTGTCTATATAGGTTCAGGTTTTCGTAAATATGCAAATTGTGCAGGAGCGATGTGCTACTTCAGTCACTGAACACGTGAACATGACTGATAGGAACTTCAGTTGTCCCTCCACAACTTTCCACAACATTTCGGCGTCTCGTGCACCTCGAGCGCGCGCGCGCGCAGCCAGAGTAAGGTAGAAACATAGCATCCTCCATCCTCACTAAGTCTGACAGTTCGACGACGGAGCCATAAAGTGACCGGTCGCAGATTCGGAGCGCGAGGGTCTGGTAGCACAGAGTATCAAAGAGCCATTTTTCGGGGAACCTGGACGTCAGCGCACAGCGTTGACAGCGGAGAGGACCCGAACCACACCTGTTCGCTCGGGAGAAGTCTGTTTCGGCGCCTCGCCGCAGCGGGGCGCTAGTCACGTGGCTCTCCTCTCAACCGCTGTCTGCCGCACCACCTTCTCTTATTTCGGCGGCCACTTCTCGTGCCGACCTGCCAGGCTTTTAAAAGGTATATACCCTCTAAGGCAAAAGATGCTCTCAAAGGACTAACAGCAGCATTTGTTCCTCTGAATTCCCGTTTGCTCTCCGAGGAGACCATCTGGTTCAAGCTAGGTACCGTACGCAAATGCTGATCGCTAACTGCACTCGACCGGGACCAACCGAGAGGCGCGCGGGAGCACAAGCGGCGAGATCCGCGCGGGACCAAAAGACGCGCTGGCAAGATGGCGGCGTCTGCTGCATCGCCGGTAGCCAGCGTTAGCGACACACTCACTGTTTCGGAACGCAGGGGGAGGTATCCACGGACCATCGTAGCATTAAAAATTGCAGGTGGGGGCATGTTTAAGGGTTGGAGCTGACTTTATAACTATCGCAGCCTCTTTTTCAGCACGTCGTGGAAGCCAGCGCTGACTCAAACGCCGCAATTGTTGATGCACTGGCCATGCGCCTTCTGCCCGTTGTCCTGGCGTCCTTCCTCTCTGCACTCTTTAAAACGTGCTTTGAAAGCGTTTATGTTTTTGTTTATGTTTAACCGGGATGAAAATAACCACGTAGCACATGGTAAAAACGTTCACAAATACAAAAAAGGTTCAGTCTGTTTTCTTTTCTCTTTGTGTTCTTTACTGTCTATGTGTGTTTGTTTTTTGTTTTTTTTTCACAGGACACGATCCGGTTGCCACGGAGACGCGCATAGGCAAACGAAGCAGTCTATGAGGGGAAGCGATAACACCGCTCCTGGGAGCCTATGGGGATGCTGTTTTATAGACTGTCCCAAATAATTACCCTGTGTACCGTTACTTTTTAGTAAGAGATACTTTCCTTGGAAGGTTTAGCGACAATATTAGAGAACAATATTTGTGCAAAAGCAGAACCATATTTGTAACATCGTACACGGTTGAGATGGTCACTGACCAAACGACTCCTTTCATATGATCAGTATAAAAGGCGCATGGGTAGCATTCGAGGTGGCGTTTGAATTAGTGTGTCGTCGCGTGTGTGTCGTCGCGTGTATGTTGTTTGTCTTCTGTGTTATAATTTCTTGTCTACGTTAAATGTATAATACGTGTGCAAATGTGAGATACCCGTTGTTCATACGTGAATGAGCCGGGAAAAGATTTACCCCAGCAATAACATCTTTTTTACCAATTCTTAATTTGACGTTGACTAGCGCCACCTTAGCGTGTAAGGATGCACTTTAGTAATAAGTAAGGTAAGGGCGCACCATTTAGTCCCAGTGGCGTAAATGCAAGGCTGCCAGAGTTAGTCCGGGGGTTCAGCTTTGTAGGACTAACGGTAGAAAAACAAAGATTGCTCCAGTTACCGCTGATCCCCTAGAGGACCAATGGTTGCGTCAGCGTATTTTCTCCTTTGAGGGAGCAAGTCACGCTCCCTCATTTCTTAGAGTGATAGGAGGCTATGGTAGAAAGCGCTACAATACCTTAGCGTGCTGGATGGCGGGCGGATGAAAGAAGCGCCCCAAGCATTTTCATTTTTCCAGTGACTATAAGTCGTTATTACACGCAGCCTGTATCCTGCGAAAACACAAATTTCTCGCATATTTTTCAGAATCCTGGTGATGGGAGACGGCAGAGTTCTCGAATACGGGCCAGTGGACAAGCTTCTAGGCAACACAAATTCGTTGTTTCAAGGAATGGCAAGAGAAGCGGGGGTCTTAAATAATAACACACATTTTTAAACGAAGCAAACAGCAAAACACTTTCAACGTCTTTCACTGACATGGACACCACGGAACCGTCCACAACGCGTCGATCTGTTCAAGATTTCCCCCCTACATTTTTGAACCGCAGAATACAAGTCACTTCTGATGTTTGTAAACAATCCAGTAGATGTGGCCCTTTTGTTTCCGTCTGCATTTATAAATTCAGGTGGTTATACTTGCGATGTTTATTTGAGTTTCGACGAAATCTCGTTGATGGAGTCCTGCTCCGTACTTATGCTTTATCATAATAATGTTTCCAGATTTCTCGTACTGACACTTTAGGCTCATGGTTAGTAGAGTCAATGACTAAACGGTTGATCCTTTGAAGAGGGTAGAGTCACAGGTCAAAATGTTTTGAGTGACGCGCGTCCTTTTATTACTGCCTCAGTGGCAGTGGTTGAAGTATAAAATTCCGCAACCTACTACACCGGTAAGAATTAATTACTAACAGCGTGGGACTCCATTGGATGTACTCAGTGCTCCCGACCTTGGTGCTACATACGTATGTCTTGATAGGCGCCACTAGAGACCCACACTGCCCAAGTCTTTGGAAAGGGCGACAATGATTTGAACTTTCTTCAGATATGACTTGTCAGTGAAGTGAACGCTAAGGGTAGTATTACGACCAAGTTGGTTTGTTACTTCCGTACAGAATAAAGCGCTCACGTAGTAGGCTTCATCAAGTTTCGTTTTATCATTCTGTTTTACTGTGTTTTCTTTACCGTATTTACATTCACTCGTAGTGAAAAACAATTAACCAAATACAGTCTGTTAACTGTGACGATGACAGCGCGGTGGAAGCTACATGTACCCTGCACCATGAATCTTGAGTCGTGCACCAAATTATTACACTTTATGCGCACCTGTTGCGCAGAGAGTGATACAGGTGAAAAAAGGCAAGCGACTTATTCGCCAAGCGACAACTAAAATTTCAAAGCACTGTTGGGTTGTGTCAAGTTCATAGAACGGACCAAACTGCAATTTTGTCCCACGGATTATTCATCACTCGACTACCGTATGTCGTGGATTTCTGCGATCCGTTTTTTACTAGCTCAGTTTCTGTGAGTGAATTTCTTGAAATTAATTAGCAACAGAAAGCGTTTCCTTAAAACTGAGAATGCGTGTACCACTGTGCTTTCTGGTACAATTTATGGATTCATGCCCTCTCAAAAGGGCTACATTAACTGCTCCGGGTTGACACGCCTCAAGTTCCGTCACTTGGGATCTGGCTCCGCAGGTGTAGGGCCTACTGGTATAACTCCTCTAGTACGTCGCCATCCTATCTGCACATTCATCGAGGCTTACATCCGTAAGACCACCTTGCGCCAGTGGAGTGCCGCGTCATAATGCAATATCGCCGCGGGCCTATCGACCAACGTCGCTTTCGCTCAAGCGCCGTTTTTGCGACCACACTTTGACAACAGCGACAAACCGCGCTAGTGGCGTTTCGATTCACTGTGAGGTTGCACATTTTTAGGGCGTCCTCGCGGTTTTCCTTCGCGTCGAACGAAGCTACATACACTCCCAGGTATTTCCGGTATCTTTTTTTCAGTATGCCGCGTCCTCGTTCTCGTAGTAGTAAAGGATTTCAGGGAGCCATTTTAAATGTGGACTTAAGCGTTTTTTTTTTATTGCAGATTAAATTAAGTGTCTCAAAACATTCACTATGAAGGGCGGTGCATATAATAAAGAGAACCTCGATATAGCTTTTAAGATTCGCCTTTGGTGCAGCTGTTGCCTGCGGAACGTACACTTCAGTAGCCTCTGCAGAACTTAAAGGAGCTGTGCAACGATTTTAACGTTAAAATAATTGGCATCTTCTACTTTTGACATTCTTCACCTTGTCACAAATGACAAAAACACACCTCCTTTCATCGGAATGTTGCGATTCCGCCGCGTAATCGCGAGGCAAAAATTAGAATATTCCCCGACCTGCAGCAGCGAGGGGCGGCCATGAGAAACACGCAACATGACGTCAATGGGGGTCTTGTAGAAAGACAGCAAGTTGTGCGAATACGTGCTCGATAAAAGGTAACTTTTCTATAAATTTTGTCGTTCCAACATAATTATAAATGCGTCAAAAACCTGGTGTCATCGACAAAACTTTTATTATACAAAGTTTTAGTGACGCCAGCTATCCTAGGTCCAAGAAACCGTCAGCTCTATCTGCTACCGCGAACAGCCGCCAGAAGCCGGAGGTGGAGGGGGACAGGGCCGGACGGGTATGGCCGGACCCGGATGAGACTTTCCTCGTGGTCACGCGGTCGCGAGCGGATGAGTTCTCGCCGCTCACTGATGGCTCTAGATAGAGAACTATACCGGAACCCCGCGCCTACCCCATCGACGTCACTGCGCAGGTGACCCGGAAGAGAATGTACGAGTTGAGAGGTAGCGAAAACCTGGATCTTTTTCATTTTTTTTAAAATAAAAACTAGGGTATCCAGGCGAAATCTGTTTTCAGTAGTTCACTTCAGAGTGTCAGGCATCAACTTCCACAATTATTTAAGCAAAGCCCTGAAATTGTTGCACAGCTCCTTTAAGGTTTGTGTCAGACATATTGCAAATGCTAATTTATTCATTAGCATACAAGGCGAGTTAAACTTGCAGCATATAACGCACTCGTGCATCTTCATCTTGAGTATGCACCTGATGTCTGGGATCCCTGCAGACCTGTCTCATGAAAGAATTCAACGTTGAATTCCTCGTAGTTCGTACAATTTATGCTATCTTCAGGTGTACCAAATCAGTCATAGCAGTAGAACGTGTAAGGGCTTTAGAGGTATCCTATGAAAGGTACAAGTAATTGCACCAATCAGTAAAGCTGCGTGCACAATTCGAAGTGTGAGGAAAGCATTTTGATGTTGTATGGCGTGTCTTCATGTCATTTCTTTTATTTTTTCATTCTGTGATCTATTTTGCTATTATCTCAGCATGTGTTTTACATGTAATGGATAATACTGACGTGGGCTTTTACTTGGCTGGCTATTTTGTCAAAAAAAAATACAATTATTTTGATCTTGTTCTCTATAATGTCATCTGTGCTTGGGTATTTTCATGGAACTTTTAATCTCGAATTACCTTGTTTTGCATATTTCTCTGGATGATATCCGAATATATTGTTTTGTATTTTCCTCATTACCTTTCACTGAAATAGCTGAACAGGCAATTGACTGCATCTTTTCTTAGATTTTATGAAGGATCTAAAGGAATATTGGCAAGTCGAATGAAGAACTTTCATGTCTAAACTAAAGCTGTACCAAAGTAAAATTTGTAAGCACTCGGTTAGGTTCAGAAAACAAGCGCTGGCTTCCAAGTGTGCACCAGGCTTTTTTTTCTTCTAGCCCTCCTCATTACCTTTCACTGAAATAGCTGAACAGGCAATTGACTGCATCTTTTCTTAGATTTTATGAAGGATCTAAAGGAATATTGGCAAGTCGAATGAAGAACTTTCATGTCTAAACTAAAGCTGTACCAAAGTAAAATTTATAAGCACTCGGTTAGGTTCAGAAAACAAGCGCTGGCTTCCAAGTGTGCACCAGGCTTTTTTTTCTTCTAGCCCTAGGAGGCTGCCCCAGGAGTCTAAAAGCTACGTGAATCGTAGTTAAGCCGTTTTACTTTCAGTATAAAATAAATAACAAAAAAAAAACAGAATAGATATAAAAAATATAATTAAAATATTTACCGAGCTATCGAGGTCGCTCACTGTTTTCTTCAAACGTGAACTCGAGGACGACGTTCAAAACGCACAGGACAAACCTAACGCGAACGTTTATCCGCCCATTGACGAACCCTGTTTTACTAACTAAAACTTATCCTTCAAATATGATTGAAGATTTTCAATACGTTCCATCTCGCTAAGTGCAGTACTCTGAAAACAAACCAGAAGATTAACTTCGGCCTAGTGCTTAAAATAAAGTTGGAAAAAAAGAAGAAAAAAATGACCAGTAACTTTGTTTGTGATTTTATTGTGTCACTCTTAAGCACTGACTTATACCCCTTTTCACAATAACTTGGCAAACTATGGAAGCTACAGCCACCACGATCCCATAAAGGCGTCGGAGCAAGGTACGTATACACTGGAGCGTTTGCCATGGTTGAGGTTCCCGTGACTTCGAACATGGATTGTTATCACGTGACTTGCTCCAATGGTCTTACTTGGTCGCGTGTGCCGCAGTCTCCACAGTTCGCCAGGTTATCATGAAACGGAGTATAGAAGAAAGTGATCACAGTTCGAAAAGAAGATTGCTTTCGTATGTAACACTACTTCTCCCTGCAATGCGAGAAATCTAATGTAGTACGCGTGCTGAACAATCTAAAAGACCTTCTTGCGTCCACTCTTTTCCCTGAATAGCGCACCCCTATTAAAGAAGGGAGCCAAGACGCGTCCGTTTTCGTACAGCCAATCGATGCTGCTCGCGCGCTCCTCCAGTAGTTCTACCACACGTGTTTCTTCTCGACTATATCCCACAACATCCTGCCGGGCCCGGGTTGCTGTTGCTGCTTCCTCGAATAAGAATTTCTGGATGGGCATGGTAATTTTACAACCGCCAGGGAAGAGCACTACCTCGCAAGCCCGTAGAACGTCATCTCGGACGGGAAAGAAAGCCGAAACCCGACCGACTTTTCACAGCATGGGTAGAGGTTTCATCATCGTTCACGATGACGATGTCATCAAACTTTACTCTGGGTTCAGGTTTCTATCGTCCTTGATAAGATGAACGAAGCAGCAGGATATAATAATGTTTCCTTCTACGCCAAAAATGGTGGAATGAGGTTTGGCGTAGTTTGGCTTGTGTTTGAATGCCGGAATCCGTAGATGACGGGCTGCATTCCTCTAGTTGATTGGCTAATGCAGTGAGGCACCTGCCTATGGGAAAGTGTGAGGGTGTTAGGGCTTGGCGTTCTGCAGGATGCGGTCCGAGAGTTGTTAGGGGTCGATAGTTTACTGCTGTCTCTACTTCTCACAGTAGAGCTTGCAGAGCCCCGAATGTCAAGCTGCTGCGTCTAAGGGCTAATCTCAAAACTGCTTTGGTGGTTCGAATTACTCGCTCCCACTATCCTCCGTCTACACTAAATCTATAGTGTTCGGGGAGCTCGTTGCAAAAGTCCAAAACTTCGTGTGTTGAGAGGGTGGCGTGCATGTGTGCGCAACACTTGAAAGTCAGGATGTTGTCAAAGT